AGGGTACTCAGGTGTGGCCTCCTGCCAGGCAGCACTTACCTCCGGCGGCTCCAAGTTGGCAGCCCAGCGTGGCTGCTACTAAGGCAGCTCCCTGCCTACCCCAGCCCCACGCTGCTCCCAGAAAGGCCAATGCACCCCTGCCGCCCCAGGGAGGGGGACATGTGGCTTCACATGCTGCCCCTCTCTGCAAGCACCGCCCACACAGCTCCCATTGGCTGGGAATTGGGAGTTGTGGCCAATGGGAGCTGCGGAGGCAGCGCTTGCAGGCAGGAACAGCGTGCAGAGCGAGACCCCTGCCCCGGGTCTACCCTGTCTGCTTCAGGGAGCAGCGTGGGGCTGGGGCAGGCAAGGAGCAAGCCTGCCTTAGCAACAGCCCTGCTACACCACCAGAGATCACAATTGACTGGTTGGTGGTCAAGGTTTATTTGGTCCTGCCACTGCTTAGGGGGCTGGACTTGACTTCTCAAGGTCCCTTTCAAGGCCTACATTTCTATTTGCTAACTCTTAATGGTGGTGCAAACACCTCCACTATAAAACCTCTATTTTTCAGAGTTTATTATTTTAATTTCAGTATTATCCATAAGCCCAAATCAAGGACTTATTTTACAAGAACCTGTACAAATAGAGTCAGAGAGATACCCTGGCCTGAATACCTTGCATTTAAAACAAATATTCAAAAGCTCTCTTTGTAAAGATTTAAGATGAATAGGATCCTCCTTCAGTAAATAAGAGGCCTGCTCCACCCCGGAAGAAAAAACTTAAAGCAAAATTTCACATGAGTAGCCTCTCCAACAGAGTTAGTAAATCATGAGCTACAGCAAAATTGTGTTTATTACTATTGTCTTTCCTGGAGTTCAGTGCAGTAAAGACTCAAAACAGACTAATTTGTTACAGTATCTAAAAAGGCATGCTGTAGACTTTGTTGCGGCCCTCCCACTTTTCAATCGAGATCAAATGACTTTTCTTCATTATCCTTAAAGATCACTTTATATACATCCTTCGATTAAAAAAAATCAATGTTATCGGTTAAAGGTAATCAAACGGATACATTTATCCCATTGTTTATTATACCACTGGTCTCCCATAGAAGCCTAAGATTAACTACTATGCACAGTGGGGAGAGAGACTAAATTCTTCAGAATCTTACATCTAGATGCTTTGGAAAAAACTCCTCCACACATTTATCAGGCTCCCACGTCAAACATTTATGCTTTTGAGGAGGTCTAATTACATCACTCAAAGTCACACAATATTTGACTCCCAGAATGAGTGTGCTATTTCAATATTCTCATCCAGTACTAAATCAGAACTCTTTAGAGCATGATTTAAAGTGACCCTTATCATAATGGACACTGCAAGGTCTGGAGATCACCCACTCCTACACAGTAGGATTTAATTGCTAACCATGCCTGAAGACACAGTCATCCTCCTACCTAGATTAATTTTTACAGTGCAGTATTTACAGCATGGACAGATATTTATGAAGAGAGAGAGTAAAAGGTTTTCTCCTCTTAAGATATTCCTTCACAGAAGACCATAAGAAGTTTGGTCAAAACAATGGAGAAAAACTTTCTGCTCTACTAACTCCATACTAACTCGTGCTATAATTTGCCCAATACCACTAAAAATCTATAAGTCTATAATATATAACTAAACTATTGTTGTATGTAAAGTAAATAAGGTTTTTAAAATGTTTAAGAAGCTTCATTTAAAATTAAATTAAAATACAGAGCCCCCTGGACGGGTGACCAGGACCCGGGCAGTGTGAGTGCCACTGAAAATCAGCTCGCGTGCCGCCTTCGGCACGCGTGCCATAGGTTGCCTACCCCTGTATTAAACAGTTACTTCCCTTTCCTACTCAATGCTACTATATTAATGTAAAAAAGAAAAGGCAAGTTAACACACCACGAAGCTCATGATACAAATATTTTCTTGCTTATTCTTGGGACAAGACTACTTATGGTCTGTGGTCCTCCAATATCCCCAGTATTTAATGATGAATTAGTCTTGATACTAGAACAAGAATTCAGTTTATTTTACTATGCATTCACTTAGGAGATCTTCATGATCTATTATAAACGGACTACCAATTTTCCTGGGAATCTAACTTATCATTGGTATAAATTATACAGTTGAGAGGGCCTGAAGTATCTTTACCCTGTCATCTAACTGTGCTCTAAGCCTAGTCTAAATTAGAGTTTATGCTGTAGAAAATTCTTTATCTATTTTTCAGACACCCCATCTACACCAATCATTAAAGGTAAGAACTACTCAGTACTTCCTGAGTAAGTACTTCATCTTAAACTGGATGGATAATGGTTCCTCCTCAGGACTTGCCTTTAACAATGATAGATCTACAGGATTCATCATTGCATGCAATAGCATAATTACTGTATGACCTATTTCTAGCTGTTCTAAACCATGTCACTAATAATTTATTCATCTACTTCTACAGTATTGAGATCATATAGCTTTATTATTGTACAGCACTGATAACTGGTATCATACAATAGGTCAAGTACTAAAGTATGGGCCTATCACAAGAAACTTCCAAACACAAAGTGATGAAAATGTACATGAGAGCTCATGTACTTATACTGATGGGTGCTGGCTCTTCTAATTTGTTGTTTCTGAATTCCTTATGAATGTCACTGTGCAAGTACTAGTAAAAAATTTTTACTAGTAAATAAATAAGAATATGGCTAAGGTGCCTAACATAGCCACATGGTCCTATTAGCAACAGTTGTATCTCTTGCCACCTCCCACTCTTAGGAATTTATTTTATGCTCTAACTGCAATGACCACTCTAGTGAGTATGTGTTTGAGTAAAAGATCTGTTATCTTGAGTTACTGTCACTGCTGAAGAAAGCTATGCTGCCACACAAAGGTTCAGAGTTTCAGGTCCTCAGCTCCAAGGCCTGGAGTAGGAGTAGGTAATATCTTACACACAAACAACAGTTTCTTATTGGTGCAAAGTGAAAAGTCTGCCAGCGTGTAGGTTAGCCGAAAGTATTTTGGCTGCCGGGAAGGGGAAATCAAAATAGGGGATCCCATGATGAAAAAAACCCTGTCAGAATTTAAGACCTTAATACAAATAATGACTAAGGCATTCCAGTCAGATAGCTTGTTTATAACCAACTTCCTGTGTGAGTCGTTTTAGTTCCAGGTTTAGTAATGAACTACTGACTGCATTATCACCACTCAGGTAAAAAGTCAATAAACGAGACATTCAAAAAGGAAGAATTTAATTGTTAGTGATGCCAATTCAAATAATCACACCAATTGGCATAATTAATACAGACCTTGGTCAAGAGAAGCCCAGAAACAAACTCCTTTAAACATTAGGTCAGGAATGAAATGGAATGACAACAAATGCAGAAAAGGTTTATGGGGCTCAGTCTACACATGACTTTTTAACTTTTCTTTAAAATTATGAAACTGCAGACATGCCTTAAATATTCACTATTATTGAATGGAAAGCACTACAAACTTAACAAAATTGCTGCTATACCTTCATCCAGCTGTCTGTCAAGAAATGTGATGGTCTCTCCATGTGTACCTCTATCTGAAATGAATTTTCACCTATGTTTTGTCTATTTGGATTGCGATTTCTTTGGGGCACATGTCTGTTCACTCTTTAGCACAATAGGGTCACAATCTCTGTTGGGACCTATACGTGCTACCTTAGTACATAAAGTAAACCATTCAAAGCTTTCTAAAAATACTGTAAGTAAATCAAGCAGAATGTGCTCATTTTGAACAGTTGTCAGCTGTTATAAAATGGATTAGAGTATTTGGGAGGGAAGAGGCAAAAGGGAAAGGTTATCACAGGTAAATTCATATTTGTGAGTAATGCCACTGCAATGAGCACAGCTGAAGATCTGGAGCCAGAATGGGTTCATCTCTCCACTTCTCCCGACTGCCTCTTCCCACAAGCAGCTTCATGAAACCTGACACCACCACCCCCAAGATGTTCCCTGGAGCACAATCCCTGTTGGTTACAACTGTGTTCAAAAGAGTGCTTAAGAACCATTTCTCAAAAATGCTGCAGCTGGCAAGTTCTGGCGTTTTATGGATGATTAGAAGAAATTCTTAACTGCCAGCGCTGCAGCACAGTTTAACACTGTCTATAGACATACTGCATAAGCTAAGGGACATAAGTTTTGCATCAAAAACCACCCCGAACATTGTTACAAGCAACAGCATGGGCAGAATTCACACTCCCCTCCCTCCCAGCCAAGAACAACATTCCAAAAAATGAGACATTCACATTATTTCACTAACTGTTAGGAGGAAAAACATGAATATTTTCAAATCACTGACTCAAAGCCAGCCAGCCCAAAAGTCCACATTATCTAGTTAGCATGAACACAGTTCTCTCCTAACTCCTGAACACAGTTTTCTCCTAATATGGGTGCTTCCCACATAGCCCCATCTCCCTTAGATCCCCTTCAGTTTCACCAGATACTCCTTCCTGCGTCCTCTGATTTCCCATTCTAATGCAACTCTGGAATGCCACCATAATCACTGCAGGCAACCGCTGACACCCCAAATTTCCCCTAACTCCAAGCTTCTTCAGAGACTGCCGATACTGCCTTCTGTAGACTCGCCCCCTCCACACACCCTCTCCCCTGAGGCCTTGCTCCATTACCTGCCCATTCAGTGCCGGGAGCCGCCACCCCACGGCCCTACAAATGTCACCTACCGCTGCTACCCTTCAGCTCCCCACCCCCTACATCCCCTCTCAGGCTGCTTCTCCTCCCGGACACACACACCCCCCATCCACTCCAGTACGCTTCCGCCCAACAGCCCCGGCACCGCCCTCCCGCAATCAAGCCCCTGCCCCCCAGACTCCACTCCCACCCGGGCACCCCCCCACCCCCTCACCCCACCCGGGCACCCCCCAGCCACCGAGCCCCCCACCCCCTCACCCCACCCGGGCACCCCCCAGCCACCGAGCTCCGTTCCGCCAGGCACCCCGCCCAGGCCGGGTCACTCACCCTTTGTAGTAGGCTTTCACCCGGACCTGGTGGGCGCTATCCCCGCCGAGGCTACTCCCGCCCAGCGTCGGGTGGGACATGATGGTGGTGGTGCTGGTGCTGCCGCCGCTACTGTCCCGCTGAGTCGGCATCTCCCCGGCCCCCCGAGGCGCCAGAGAAGCAGTAAGGGGGGAAACGAACGACTCCGAGAGCGGCCCCTGTAGTGGCACAAACAGCGCAGCGCAGCGCAGCGCACCGCACAGGCTTCAGGAAGCTCTTCCGTCCCGCCTCTGGCCAGCCGCTACGAGCGCCTCAGAGTCAGCCCCACCTGGGACGGGCCGAGCCAAGGGCCCATACCGGGAGGCAGGGGCAAACCATTTCTTGGAGCGAAAGGGAGGGAAGCAAGATGAGGACAAACCAGTCCGGTGAGGGAAGGAGGCGGGATCAGCCTATACTCCACAGCAATGGGGGGAACAGGATACACCACTACTTCCGGAGAGAGCAGGAAGAGACCACCCACCCAATCCCCCTATCAATTGCCTCCTTAGTCTCCTCCAGTGCGCACCTGTTGAGGGGACTGTTCTACGCTCTTAGGCCGGAAGGGGAGGAAACAAACACGAATCTCCTTAGTCAGGCACCGAAGCGATTTATCCGAAGACCAACTGTGCAGAAAAAGACAGGAACTCCCACCACCTTCTCTCGCATCCTGTAAAGTGAAGGCGTGCAACAGCAGTGATGCCTCTGCTATGCGCAGTTGGTACAGTCCACAGCTCTCTGGGGGTATTACAGAGGAACGGGCAAAATCCATACGGAATTCTGGGACTTGTAGTCATTACGCTTCAGAATCAGGGGGCATGCGCGGCGGCTGTTCCCTACTCTTGCCATAGTTGAGTAGTATGTGTAGGTGACGTGTGTAGAGGGTGTTAGGATTTTTTAGGGAAGGATCTACCTGGGGTGGAATAGCAGTGTCTGATATAGGCTTCTTAAGGTTGTAGTGCTCTTCACGTGGAGGAGTTAAGGATGGGGAGCTTGCTACCTTTGGTAGGTTGTGCCAGAACAACTGCTACTTCCTCTTCCTCACTCATGTGGTGTGTGAAGTCAAGGGGATCACTCTGTTGTTTAAAGTTAAGCACATGCTTGAATGCTTTGCTGGATTTGAGCCTAATCTAATTCTTATTTTAATGCAGTGTCATTGTAGCCTTGTTGGTCCCAGAATACTACAGAGATGAAGTGAGTGAGGTAACATTTTTTTATTGGACCAACTTCTGTTGGTGAGAGAGTCAAGCTCTGTGTAAGCTTGAAAGCTCACTCTCTCACCAACAGAAATTGGTCCAATAAAAGATGTTACCTCACCAACCCTGTATCTCTCTATGTATTTTAATGGTAATATATCAGTTGTTTTGGGAGCAGAAGTGACACCTAGAGCAGCACTTGCTGAAACTCACTGCAAAAATCCTTTTTTAGCACACTGATATGATTTGCCACTGTTTTGAGGTCATGATTAATTAACAGGGGGGTTTGAATTCAACAAATGATTGAAACCTGCATGCACTACACTGTTCACTACAGCATTCAGGTGCAACAAGATATAGTGTCAGCAATAATTTGCTAGGACAATCTACTCAAGCTTTCAAAGGAGACAAGTAATTTGGTGAGGAGTGTTCTGCAGTACTGTAGAATATTCAGGAAGCCTGGGTGATCTATTCTCATTCCTCCCAACTCCTCTCCCACCCAATATGGGTGTAATTTTAAACTTGTTTCTGTAGGCAGCAAAACAAGTCATCAATAATTTACCAGAAGGATACATAGAGCTATGGTAGCTCTTTGTCTAAATTATTTCTTTTAAGCAATCTTACAATTAGAGGTTTCTAGATCTGTTTTTCTTTCCTGATAATCAGCTACAGACCTTGTTCCTGCTGCCACTGCTTTTAGGTAGGCGGAGTGAAATGTAGGATAATTTAACAGTTTGTGACAAGCCGGTCAGTGCACTTGTTAATCACCTCCAAGGGGAAAAAAAAGGGGAATCACACATTCAGCTATGGACCTAACCTAATTTACAACTTCCATTCACCATCATTCAACAAATAAATAAGGCCTGGTCTACACTTAAAAATTAGGTCAACATTGCTACATTGGTCAAGGGTGTGAAAAATCCATGCCTTGACTGATGTAGCTATGCTGACCTAACTGCCAGTGTAGACACAGCTATGTCTTCTTCTGTCAACATAGCTACTATCGTTCGGCGAGGTGGTGTTCCTACACCAATGGGAAAAACCCGTTCGCTCGGTGGAGGCTGCATCTACACTATGGGGTAATGCCAGCATAACTACAGCAATTTAGCTATGCTGGTATAGCCTCTGTAGTATAGCCATTCCCAACAATTTGCATTTACTACACCTCAAATAATATAGGGTAACAATACCTGTAATTAAGGGCTAGTCTACACTGGCAATGCTAAAGTGGTGCTGCAGCAGCGCTTTAATGTGCCTTGTGTGGTAACGGCGCAGAGCTCTCCCAGCACTCTAAAAAAAACACCTCAACGTGGGGCGTAGATCCCAGCACTGGGAGCCATTATTTACACTGTCGCTTTACCGCGCTGCAACTTGCTGTGCTCAGGGAAGTGTTTTTTCACATCCCTGAGCAAGAAAGTTGCAGTGCTGTTAATTGCCAGTGTAGACAAGTTCTTAGTCAAACACATGCTTTGTCTACTGCTTCTTCAAGCTCCCAGTATGTTGTTTTCTAGTTCTTTCTCTATTGTTAATTTACAATCTTATCTGTGAGGGGAATCATGTGACTGCAGCCAATTAGCTTTGATAAGAAAACAGTTGTTTCCTGGGGAATGATTACAAATCTAGTTGCTAACTACCTGGAACAAGATTTTAACCCTTGGCTTGCCAGGCACCAGACAAAATCAGCCTGCCATGCTTCTGTAATGCAAAATCTTAAATTATCCCATGCTGTCATTGTATCACTGACAGACCAACCAACCTGATGACCCATATTGTATGACCATAACAATTTAACAGAAGGCATTACAATTGTAATCGTCCATTTATTTGTATGTAAATTTCAAGGAGATGTACTAGACCAGGGGTTCTCACAATACATTTTTTGGTGGTCTCAGAGTACAGCCACCGACTCTTGCTGGTGGCCGTTCTGACAATTTTTCCTAAAATACTTAACTTTAGGAAAAACAAATAAATATGCATATATACATGTCCAAATCATTGTAATTTATTTATGCCAAGGCTTTTTGGCAGACTCAATAATTAAAAATAATATACAGTTGTCTCTATTCTTTACTGGCCCTAAACAGAATAGAAACACAAATAAGATGTTTTGCACATTCTTGTCTCTTTTGTTGTTTATTTTGCTTTTTGTTTGCTTTTTTAAAAGACTTGCTAACTAGTAAGTCTGCTGCAGCGAAAAGTAATATTTGTTATCAATTTGTACTACAGATCAACTTCCACAGCAGATTTACCAGTTAGATGGGAGGCTGTGAAAAGTGATATTAACAAACATACAAATATCAATTTTCACAGTAGACTCACTCAGCTCTGGCAAGCCAGGGGACAAATTAAGCCCTGGATGGGAAGGTGGGTAAGGAGACAGCAGGGGCGAAGGGCAATGGATGGAGAGCAGGGGAGTCAGTGGGGGCCAGAGGTGATGTGTGTGTGGGGGGCAGCCAAGGGCTGGCACCGCAGCCAGGGTCCAGGGCTGGAGCCCAAACCCCCACGACCAGAGCCTGCTACCTGCCACCCCAGGGCTGAAGCTTGAGCCTCACTGCTGCTGGGAAGGTGGGGAACTCACACTGGCTGCCTGTTCCTCTGCCATTTGTGGCTCCAGAGAGGGGGCAGTGCCAAACCCCTGCTGATGGCCCTGGGGGAGGGGCCACTGCTTTGCATCTCGCCCCCACCCCCTAGTCACTGCCCAAGAGGCTGTGGCCACAAGAAAAGCCCCTGGTGGCCACAAATGCTGTACTAGACTATGCAATGCCTCTTTGCCATGTACATTGGCCAAACTGGACAGTCTCTACATAAAAGAATAAATAGACACAAATCAGATGTCAAGAATTATAACATTCAAAAACCAGTTGGAGAACACTTCAACCTCCCTGGCCACTCGATTACAGACCTAAAAGTCGCAATATTACAACAATAAAACTTCAAAAACAGACGCCAACGAGAGACTGCTGACAGGGCCGGCTCTTAACTTTTTACTGCCCCAAGCAGCAAAAAAAAGCGCCGACCGCCACCGAGCGCCGC